TTAAAGCTGCAGATATTTTGGTGTTTGAGAGATAGACAACGTGCCTGGTGCCAACTGAAGACTTGTAGGTAAATATGGTTTTGTTTTTTTCAAAAGTACCTTGTAAGACGAAACTGCTGGCTGCATCTGGGGAACAAAAAAAATTCATTGTAAAGTGTTAAACTTATATCTCTAAAGTCATATCATTTCGGATACGCACATGCTAAACTAAAATTGAGCTCAACAATAATACCGCAAATAGATATAGATCCTTGATGTTCAACTTTTGACATCGGTAATACTAGTTTATTCATGTTTGCTGAGCAAGTGTGAACTTAATAGGACTATTCGTGAACAAAGCCTTGAATCAATTTCCATCTAAAATTGGAATATTAGTTTAAGTAGCCATTTTTACATGGATATGAGGAAAGTGGTCGTGCAATGAACTCTTATTATGTAATCTATGTAACAGAGTTTATGCTCTTTATAAATGGATGAGCTTGGGGGAATGTTTTACATGTGTGTTACTCAATACATGATGCATTTAAATAGCCTCACTCCAAATTTGGATAACATGAAATGAAAGGTTTAAAATAACTAAGCTGAACTAACACGTTGTATAGAAAACATTGTCCTATCCTTTTCGCGTCTCTAGATCTTCACTTCCACTGCGGAAGCTTTTTGCGAAATGCTCAGCATAACGTGTTAACCAATCAGTTGTATACAATCGACTTTTTCAACTTGTTCCGTATGTTATGTACTTCTTCAAAATGTTTCACAGAATGAATTTTTAAGTCTTTGCAACTCATTTTTGACTATTGTTTTAAGACCTGTCACTGGGAAGATTGTATGCATTTGGACAGAGCACTAAAAATATTAAATGTATAGATACCTATCAATATAAAGATAGCATCTATTGAGACATATAACTAGAAAGTTTAAATGTGTGTTGGACAGAATCTCCCTAACGAACAAGTTCCCCGTATATCAGGTCAATGTCCATTGTCTTAATACGGTCATGCAAATGAGGGACCTTCCTGCATTAGTGTGTGAAACATGCTGCAGGTTTAGGGCAGGTTCTGAAGCCTTAGTGCTAAACTCAAGTTAATAAATAAGCTGAATATCTTTCCCCCGCTTTTCTGTAAATGCTATAACATGTTTTAAATTAATTAAACATAATAAGCATACCAAACACTATGAGAAAAAGACAAATCAACATTAAATAACTTAGTAAAAAAAAATAGATCTTTAAAATAAATTTACCCATGACTCTATTTAAATTACGCTATAATACGACTAAAATTTTTTATTTATTTATTTATTTTTTTTGAGATAAGAAACGATATATTTATACAAGATGAAACAAAATGTTTGTTACAAGTAAAAGACTCGCTCTATATACTTGCGTGCTGCATATTTTTGTTACATGTTTAGAACACCATTATAATGGGCGTCCGGAAATAACATTATTACAGAGGGGCATCACGCTATTATCAACTTGTTTTATTTGACATACATAGGAGAGTTACCAGTATAGACAATTATTCTGGTCACTGTCTGTGGATCTCTGTATTCAAAAATCAGCTTCTTGTCATCACCGCTGGGGAAATGCAGACACTCGGTTCCGGTTGTGATTTCATCTTTCAACTTTTGTTTATCAAACGTCTTCTCCTCCTTAAACATTCGGATGAAACTTTCTATGGCGACATTGCGACCTGTAAGGCAGTCAAGAAATGGTTTACTTTCGCCAAGGCTGATCACTTAAGCGCTACTTTTATTGAATAATTAAAGACGGACAATATGTCTAATGTATATTAATAAGACTAGATTAGAGAAGAAAAAAATGTAAGTATTTTTCTTTCTTTCTATGAAACGGTAACGACATAAAATAGACTGAAAAACCGTTGACGGACATAAAAGAAAAATTGTAAGGGTAATTAATTTAAGTCCATGTTTACAAATAGTCCTTATAAATTCTTTCTGGCCTCCGTTTAGCTAAGCTGCATGAAAAAATATTAAAAAAAAAAAAACTTTTTGCATTGCCATTTAAATTACAGACGTAGCTTCTTTTACTCTGCAGATTTGCTATCTATTCACAGTTTTTGTATATTTTAATACCAAAATAATTCCACACAACAGCTTCAGAACGCTATTCGTATTAGCCCTAGTAGCAACTATTTAGATTTTGTTTTAATCTTTACACAATTGCAACTTATAAATGCGAAACCTATTTATATTAGTCAAACTTAGCCATATGTGTATTAATTTCGCTGAACCAAATTATACAATTCAAACTGACCCGAATTCATAACTCTAGCAACGACGACTATTTATGCAAGTGAAACTGACCCAACTTATTTTAGTCATACTGAAAACGTTGAACCTGTTAACACTTAAATGAGTTTGCGCGAACCGCAAAAGGTTAAGTCCAACAGTTTCAATGTGTTCTCACTTCTGTTTGTTCAATGTCCATAGCTGAAATCACAAACATGTTCCCAGTATTAAAAAGGAAGATGTGATGCGGAATATTTGTTGGATATTTGAGAAATAGTAGATTAAAAAAGAATTATTTCTTACACTTATTTTTGCCAATACTGGTCGTGAAAAAGTGGTTGGAAAGGGTGGGGTGGGTAGGAAGCGTATTCAACATAAAGTTCCAGAACAATTCCGAGAAAGAATGAATGTGTCGGCACCACGTAACACAGTTGTGTTGTCTAATCTTACGACCTTATATCCGTATGGAAGCTTACTGTGTCAACGTCAATGGAAGGAGATGCCTGATTGCTTTTTCCTTCGTTATTACGATGAATTTCCATTAACTAAACATCATCAATTCGTCCGTTCACCGATTGTCTAAGTACAAGGTATCGAGGATGGACAACGTCTGACAGAACCAGATATATACGGGTGACGATGGTAAATTGAGGATCATTGTTTGTAAGAGGATTGAGATTTGTATTCGGAAATTGTGGTTGTAAAAACATGGTCCTACAGAAATCACATATGTTCACTGAGTGCGTGTCCAGCAAGGAGAAATTTTAAACCAATAGACTTCATTATCGTGTTGATAATTTCTTTTTTTCTATCTTAGTTCATTCATATCTCTATCGGAATTGATATACAACCTTTTTAAAACTCGGTACCTTTTCAGGACAATTTACACATGAGGGAAAATGACGGTTAACTATAATTACTATTTCCAAAATCAAGATGGAGTTCCGAAAGGTGGATAACATTCGTACAATGAAACATCCCAACAACTCCTGTGACTTCACTGGTGCCAAGCTGTATCTTCAAATGTTGTCACCATGGGTTCTTCAGCGGCGTAGAGTTTTCATTTTTTTAAGCATACTATTTATATTAGTCATAATGACCACTTTTTACAACAAGTAAAACTGACAATTATTTATAATTGTCATACTGTCCCGTATATATATATATATATATATATATATATATATACTTTTTTATAAAGACCCATATTTTACTAGTCAAAATGACCTCAATTTATGCTAGTCGTACTGACCTCCATTTATATACAGAGAGCAAACAGTTCCGTTTCCTTGCCAAGATATTTCTAAGGATGTTGTAACTATTTCATTGCTGCAGAATATGTCTAAATGATTTTTCTCTTCAGTCATTACACGTATATGTTCACATTCTCCAGATGCTTGAAATGACATCGAGAAATTGAACACCTTGGATGGAAGATGAACTATAAAAAATAAAATAAAAAATATTGAATGCCTTTCAAAATACTTTAAAAAAATTTTAAAAACTTTAATCAAATTATACCCAGACATATAATCATATTTTAAATGGATTTTCATTGATCCATTATGCCATAATCTTTAATTATGTAAACGGCTAATTTTGTATTTTTACAAGGGTTTTTTCTTCTCTAATTTTTTTTTTTGTAAATAAACATATCTTTTACGTAGAATAATACATTTTCAACACGCATACATTAAAGTTGAAAATAAAAACCATCAAATGTAAAGCAATGATGATTATATTAGATCGTACAACCCAAAATTACATAAGTTTAGACTTTTATCACGTTATGCAATCATCCATCATTTCAAGAAATTGTGTGAAATGTCATATATTCTGGCACATACATAAACAATTAAATTTCATATAATTTAGCACATACTGTAACAAATGAAATGTCATAGATTCTAGTACATACTGTGTCACTTGTCATTATGGTAAAATGCATGCTAAATGTGTTAATAGTTGGATCGTAAACAATATAATACTTAACAATGACTTATCCAAAATTATGCTAAGAAAAAGACACCAAAACTAATAATACTTAAGTGTAATTCAATCATATAAATACATTTCTACCAAAAAAAAATAATTAAATTACAGAGGCAAAGGACGTACGAGGAAAGTAACATCCATTGGATAATGACAATTTCAAGGCCATTCTGCTGGCGCACAATTCGTTGTGGCTGACAAATAACTTTTTTTTTTTTTTTAAAAAAAGCTAATCCATCAGCTGAACTAGTCTAAAAATATAACAACTGTAGAAATAATTCAAGGCCATTCTGCTGGCGCACAATTCGTTGTGGCTGACAAATAACTTTTTTTTTTTTTTAAAAAAAGCTAATCCATCAGCTGTACTAGGCTAAAAATATAACAACTGTAGCAATAAAGTGTGAAAAAAAAAATTCTGTCACATACCGCGATAGTAAAAAAAGTCTGTCACATACCGCGATAGTAAAAGAAGTCTGTCACATACCGCGATAGTAAAAAAAGTATGTCACATACCGCGATAGTAAAAAAAAAGTCTGTCACATACCGCGATAGTAAAAAAGGTCTGTCACATACCGCGATAGTAAAAAAAGTCTGTCACATACCGCGATAGTAAAAAAAGTCTGTCACAATTCGCGATAGTAAAAAAAGTCTGTCACATACCGCGATAGTAAAAAAAGTCTGTCACATACCTCAATAGTAAAAAAAAGTCTGTCACATACCGCAATAGTAAAAAAAGTCTGTCCCTTACCGTGAGGACTGAAGACGACCCGCACCCAAGTATAGACAAACGGCTCAGTTAGGTTAGCACGAATGACTTTCTCTGGGGGAACGTAACATGTGCTGTCGTCGTTATCGGTCAGAAATGGGTCACTGGAGGTACTGCCCTGGGCCAGGTCACCTTTTAAACCAAACCGATAGTGTTTTAAATCATGAAATTATATCATTCTTTGTGTGAGTTTATGTATTTAACTGCTCGTGATAATTTAACAGTTTAATAAAGTTTTAATTGAATTTTATTTGAAATATCTAGCAACTGATCTAGAAGAAAACTGTCTTCTGTTTTTCAATTATTTTATCACTGATGAATAATTTTGAACTTTTAGAGGAGAGACGGACTTGAGCAAATTAAGGTATGCAAAATTTCAAATTTTATTAATTTAAAATTCTTTTCAATTAATAACAAATATGTCTGTCGTATTTAATTTGTAATCTTTTCAGATCCACTTTTACCACTTTCTCTTTCGATTTGTTTGAAAGGGTAAAAACTTACTTTAATGATGTTTTTTTTTTTAAAAAGGTAGAAACTTAAATTACCTAAATAATTTTTTGTTTTTTTTTAAATTCTGCACTTAAATCAAACAAAGTACAAATAACATTACCTACCTGACAGGTATCCACAACTATTGTACTGTAAATAATTTTTTGATTTTTTTTAAATTCTGCACTTAAATCAAACAAAGTACAAATAACATTACCTACCTGACAGGTATCCACAACTACTGTACTGATATGCCAAATATGAATTTAAAAAAAAAAAAAAAAAAAAAAAAAAAAAAAAAACAGAACAATCTACTGTGCTGTCACGAAAGGTACAGAACAACCAGGTGTGATGAGTTGTTTAAAAAGTAGCAGCTTACTGTACTGACATCCCAGTGCGAACCAACCATCTTCACAACTGGAACCTTTTTTGCATCGCCCATCTCTTTGACATAGATTGTCCTTGCAGTGACATAAATACTGACATGATTGGCCGAAGAACCCGAGTGGACATTCGATGGCTAAAAAAAAAAAAGTAGGAACAAAATCATAAAATTAAGTTCAATTCTTATTGTTCATTAAGTTGCTTGCATTACATTTTAGAAGCTTTAAACATTTTAGCGATAACTTTCCTTTCCTAAATGTATATCTCTTTCCATGCAGATGCATTAATATATACTAGAATGAGCCTGCCGAACATTGGCGACAGCAATGCGTGAAATTCCCATCTACTAAAGTTACTTGACAAAAACGTGAACTGAAATTAGGCACATTTAAGAATGCCAATTTTGCTACACCACTCCCCACCCCCACTTTTTTCATGATACGCCCCTGCACCCTTTTCCGGGGATTAGCATATGTGAGCTTGTTGGGTGTGCGCATGGCTGGCAAGCGAGGGTGGTGCAGGAGGGGGGGTGGTAGCTCAACCGCAGTGCGCATGCCTCGAGACCAATGGGATTGCCTGCACCTTGCTTGCTGTGGCGTATCTATATATAGTAATCGTGGTCATCTTGGTCATGTTGTTCCCTATTTTCTGGTGAATTATATATATGGATATATATTTAGTGTAAGGGAAGTAAGTAGGTTAAAGTGACCAACAAAAAAAAACCACACAATGTCATACGATGGACTGGTTTATTTTTTGTCGGCCTCGAAGTTTGGACTTTTGATGGTGTTGCCACTGATGTCGAAGTTTTCGACTGTGACGTCCTTACGGCTACCGATGGTGTTGACCCTGACAACCGTGTGGCCGTTGATGGCGTTGTCACTGACGACGTTGAGGTTGTAGAAGCCGTGACAGTTGTAGCTTACATATTAAATATAAAAAAAAATTTATAATGCAAATATATGTATATATATAATTAATTAATTCCGTGTAAAATTAAAATAAAATAAGAAATTTAACCAGGTTGAGACAAAGAACGTTTTCTGTAGTAACTTTTTCTAACGTGCCCCAAGAGAATACCCCCCCCCTTCCCCGTTTCTGTCGTGTTACAGTTTTTTGCGCTTGTTGCTTTACTGTCAGGGGAAATTATCTAACAGTTAACTGCTTGAAATGATCCCATTTGTTTGTTTGTTTGTTTTTTTTAGTTTTTTTTTTAAAGACAACATTGTTGTTTTAAATTCCTTTGTTTCTTGTGGTACATTGATTAGGAAAATGTTACCATGACCAACCCCAATCAAAAGGAAAGCAGTATTATGTCTAGAAGCCAGATACATCTCCTATAAGAAAAAATTACTACAGAGACGTCAAAAAAATAAGCAATACTTTCAGCCTATTCTAGATAGAGATATATCTTCTTCTACAAGAAAATGTATGAAGTCTTGCGGCTGATTATACAGGAAGCCTCAAAGAACAGGACTCTTTATTCACAGTCAATCAACATAAGCTCACGTAATGTAAGTGACAGGAGAATCAGTAACATTGGCGCGAGGAAAAAAAACAAAAACATTGACGCTCATCCCGATCGGCATTTACAAAACAAAGTGGAAGCAAGCATAAAATTTAAAATTAGTCTGTGTTGAGACATCGAAACACTCATGAGGTGGAACACGCTCAACACAAACAATATGTTTCTTTAATGCTATCACGGGTGACACAAAGGGCGTGGGTAGGATGATAAGCCCATCTTCCAAGAATTATTAAAATCTTTCGAACCAAATAGAACAACATAAATATAAATTCGATACATCATTATTGATGTAATATAGTACAATGAAAGTGAAACAATATTATTCGTGAACCACATGTAGTTAGGAAGATGAAAAAAGAATTTTATTCAAGGAACAATGGCGGAGCATTTCAGCATAAGAAAATTAACCAGGTTCCTTGGGTATGCTATAAAAAAACTGAAGAGATAACCAAACTGACCACAGATGCATTGGCAATAAAATGTAGTAGGGGTCTAACAGAAGTAAGGTCTTCAAGAGGAGCTGATGTTACATCTGATCACCATTAAGTTTTGTTGAGACTCAGACTTGATCCCGAACTAGCTTGGGCAAGACACAGACATGATCACAATCTAGTATGGATAAGACACAGACCTGATCACCGTCTAGTTGGACAAGACACAGACATGATCACCAAGTCAAGAATCAATCTAAAACTGGCGGGAAAACTGGGAAAAGCATCCTGTTTTACGAATATAATACAACATTAGAACGTCTAGCTAACCAGGATCAACGAAAATAGTTTAGTAAGACCTTCAGCAATAAGACTGTTGTTGTTGTTCGTCCGTGGAAGTCAACTAGGACCATCGAGTCATCCGATTAGAGGGAGGGTGGGTTACGGTGAACTCGTAGGTGGCTTGGTAGACCAATACGTGCTCGGGTTAATCTCTGGTACTGCGAGCAGGGGATAGTTGCTGCAGACGGTGACCTAAACCTGCATGTCTCATCTGTGGTTATCTTATTAGCTTCATTTGACTTAGCCCCTTTCTTGTCAGCTGCTCTCCACCTGGCTCTGTCCTGGGCTGTCTGCACCCATTGAGTAGGGTTTATGCTGAAGGCCTTTAGTGCCACTTTCAGTGAGTCTTTGAAACGCTTTTTTTTTTACCTTCTTTAGAGCGCTTGCCTATCGTGAGTTCTCCGAAGAATATCTGTTTTGGGAGCAGGTGGTCTTCCATACGGGCTACGTGTCCCTTCTAACGGAGTTGAGACTGCATCAGGGTGGTGAAGATACTAGGTAGGTTCGCTTTAGCAATAAGACTAAACAGATGACGGTAGGATATAACTTTAATGGTGAAACATCAAGATGGTCGTTACATCCACGTGACACAAGATATGACGACGGGTGAAGCACATATACAAAGATTGGATCTTATTCAGCACTTGCAAGGAATTATTTTTTCTTTACAGATAAAAAAGCTCACATAGATTGTCTAATGTGAACAACCGAAGGAGCAGCCAGAGAGTGAAAACATGAAATAACTCTATGATAAAACAAGGTAGCATATATAATGATACAAGAAGTTAGAGAAACGTGAGACAGACACAGTCTAACTAAGTCTGGGATACATCTAAAATCAGCTGGAATGGAAAACACATGAACTAGCTTAGTGGAAAACTCTTGCAGACGGCCTTTGCCCCAGTTTGCGTAAATCATTAGCATGTAAAGGATTGGTCAACGCTCGAGTCATTAATGATGTTCTCGGATAGAAAGAAGTGGGAAGTGACGCTTAAACAAATCAATGAAGAGCCACGGTAGCATTTAGGACTGTCTATAGGACTCTTGCTGAGCTTCCGAAGAGGATGTTGTGGGACTGCCTGCAGGGTCATTGTTTATTGGCCACCAGGTAAGTTGTAGGAATGTCTGTAGGCCTATCACGTTTAGAAAAGTAGAAGTTGTCTCTTTCTTTTGTGAAGGATGGATCAACCGTTTACGTTTTGAAAATACCCGGTGCGGGTCAAAAAATGTGCGCCCGGTTGAGCCCTAGACTTGACAAATACATATAGGTTTTATGCATATATTATTACTGATAAGTCCTGTAACAACCTCAAAATCACCCTTCCCCCCACTACCACATGTTTTATAACAAAATTACTGGGTGGAAACGAACTGTCACGCAGCGAGTGTGAAGCGTGGCGTTTAAACTAAGGTAACAGCTAATTTTGTTGTTGTTGTTTTAATTAGTGGGGTCGACTAGTGATATCATTTAAAAAAGAGCCACGGTTATGCTTTAACACTGTCTGTCGGAACGTCTTTAGGATTATTGCTTAAGAGCCGACAGATAGGGTGTAGAACTGTCTATAGGATTGTTGTTTAAAAGACTAGCGGTTGAGGTGGAGGACTGTCTGTAAGCCGACATTTATTATAGAAAGTGAGTAATTAACTCATTTTTTTTAAAGACTTGGACCCACAGAGAATGTTTTCAATATAACCGCACCCGCTGTAAAAATATATATATATACATATATAATAATCACCTATTTAGGAAGATATACAGATACTTCTCGTGATATACTTACGATTTACGTCACATGGCCCATCATAATGACAGAAATTTTCGTCAAATTCTGAGGGACACCCATGAGTGCAATGGAGTGAGTAATTTGGTGGTGCACAGGCTGATGGATAAAGAATACACGTCATTTTAACGGCGATGATCTTGTTTAAAACGTCACTCAGCAAAGCTTTTAAGCGATGTGAATTTATTATCATTGGAGATCCGTTTACCCTTTTGCTTTTGTCGTAGCAAACTCGTTTGTAAGGCCAAGACTAACTCTGCGACGAGCCTAAAATAAACTACGGTTTCAGAAGTATTTTTTTTCCTCATTTTTTAGGTATATTTTTTTTTTTTCAAAAAAATAATTGGGATTTTTCAATGAAAAATGGACTGCATTTTTTTAGTTTAAACCGTAAGCAATCGAATAAGACCACTGGTAATTGGCCTTTGTGGTCTCGATCTCAATGCAAAAACAAGAGAATGTTTCCTTTCGAGATTCGCATTTTTATATTTTACTGCCAATGTTCTTGTTTTAAGCACATTTTTCATCCTTAAGATAAACAAATCAGACGATCTTTTCCTGTGTCATTATTTGTTTCTAATCATATAAGCAGTTGAGTGGTGTAACGATAATATATATATGTGTGTTGATGATGTTACTTGTAGATTTGTAGTTATCGCTTAAACTATTCATCCACATTTACAGACGTCCATGTTTGTAAACACAAGTATCAGAGAAATACTTGAATTAGCATCACGACGTTCATTGACTGATCAACGAACACATAATAAAATAAGATCTCTGCAGATCAGAGAAAAATTATATTTTTTTCATATAACTTCTTCCACTTCACAATCAACATTAAGATGCTGTTTAAAAACTAAATGATCGTAGCAAATGCTAAGGAAAAAAAAAACCCAAACGTCACTGTCAGTTTTTTTCCATCCCAAAATTCCTTAACTTTTTCTTTTCTACTTATCAAAACAATACATTATTTTAAAAAACATAATTGATATCTACATATTTGATCTGTGACAAGTGGATTTCCTTATACAAGTTTTATATTT